TGTCGCTGCGCCGCTTGTTCTCGACGGGCACAAGTGGACGACGCCGACACAACTGCAGACTCACAGCAAACCCTGCGACCCACGGCCCAAGTAGACGCACTCGGCTCCGCGGCAAACCCCATGGCAATCCCTGCGCTTCAGGTGGAGTTTGCCCTGGTGGCCGCAGCGCCATCGCCAAGACGTAAGGCCGCGCGTCAGCACAAACAGCGTGGCGACATATGCATGTACGGATCTTGGTGAATGGATGCGGATGCAGACGCAGAGGCCTTAATTTGATCACTCAACCGCACTCGCACACAACAGTGCAACGACACGTTTGCGCGTCGATGTAGTAAGGTGTGAACGTAAGCGTATACATATATATATATATATATATGTGTGTGTGCACCCACGCGCATCCACATGGACAAGCTGTGTGTATTGTTTCTGTCGGGCGCGTCCGTAGGGGCACCCTTCCGAGTCACGTAAAAGTATCGCATTCATGGGAGAGTCGCCAACCACCAAGGACGACCACACATGACAAATATGGACCACCAGGAGGACAAAGAGGGACTGGCCCCTCCGAACCACTCTTCCTATAGCTCGTGGGTGAACAGACGAAGTGCCCCACACCTCGAGCCTCGAGGGGCCGCGGCCAAAGTCAGGCCTGCAGTCGAAGGCTGCCCTCTCAACCCTCTGGGCGTGCTCGCACTAAGGCGGCGCTCGCAGACCGTCCGGGGCTTTCGCTAGAGACAAGCAAAAACAACATGGACATAAACTGTCCAAGGTCCGCGCGGATTTCCTGGGCCAGCGCTGACCCCCCTCTGTTGGCGCGCGGAACTCCCCGGCCCAGCGCCGATCCAAGGAATCCGCGCGTCATGCGCTCAGCCGACTTCTCCAACTAAAGGATCAAACTCTATACACCGACGCGTTTTCTGGTCCTGCGCTGACACTTGCACAAGAAAGCGGATCCTGGTGTATACGGGATCGTGGTGTACTGGTGTATACGCTTTTCGTTGTCCCCCCCTGGAAACAAAACAAATAACAGTATACACCGCACCACCCCGACGTCGCCCCAGGCCCTCAAAAAAAACCTGGGAGTGAAGAACAGCCCGCCACTGGTAATGTATATGTTCCGGGTGTTGCTAGAAGCGCCCCTGACCCAAGGTGCCCCCAGGATTTCCGGGGAGGCCCCCACGGCCTCCAGAGCACCCCTCACGAGGCCCAGAGGGCCCCCGGGGGCTCCAACATTGAGCGAAAAGCTGGGGGCACCTTGGGCCAAGGGCACTTTTAACACCCCCCGAATGTTTCGGGGATGGACAAACCTCCCTTTAGTAAAACGTGGTTTAGTGAAAACGACTTCGGGCCCAAACCTGGCAGGCGCAACCCTGGAAAATAACGGCCATGGCGCCCTCTCGAAGACCGAAAACGGACAATTCACTAATCGACGTGTCACTGTTGGGGGTTCTGTCCACCCCCGAATGTTCCAGTTTCCGACGTTGATGTCCCCCGGCTCACCGGCTGGCTCCAGCAGAGGCCGTAGCCGGGCTCCGCGCCGCGCCGGCGCTCGGCATAGCCGCCGTGGCCGAGGTTGCTCGGGCCGAGGCCGCCGCCGCCGGGGCCGCCGTGGCCGTGCACGACCAGGGCCTTGGCGGGGCCATCCCGACGGGGGGCCTGTATGACTGTATGTAAAGGGAAACTGGGACACACAAATAAATACACACAAATAAAAAGATTCCCCATATTTTCCTATATTTTCTATGTTTTTGTCCTCCCCACCACTTCCCATATTTTCCCATATTTTCCTAGGGATCGACGAATAATTGTGTCTGTGTGTTTTTTCCCCTCCTGAGTATGACCTCAAAGGTACCTGCTACATAGGCCGAAACCTCAAGTTCAGAGAGAGGGACTCGATCTGGCTGTGACAGACGGGGCGAGGGCAGAGGGCTGCCACTCTGTGCTGAGGAGGCATCTGGGTGGGGGGGCTCTGTGATCACCTGTGGGTGTGCTAATCGTCGGTGGCGAGCGAGGGGGGAAGCGAGAAGGAGAAGGTTTTCTCAGAGGGCGGCGGGACTGCTCAGAAGCAAATGATCTTTCTACTTCGGCGGTTCGGCATTGGGCGGAAGGGGGGGGTGTCTGGATGCGGACCTCTGCTTAAAGCGGCTGTTTGGAACAGTGCGTCCATTATGAGGGAGGCTCCACCTGCCTGAAACGGGCGCCAAAAACAGCCAAGATTTAGTCCATGGGGGTGGGGGGAGGAGGGGTGCGAGGGCCCGAGCCGATCGGCAAAGCAAGGAGAGAAAACGATCACCGATGGGTGTGCTAACTGGTTTGCGGGGTTCTACCCACCTTGGGGCCCTTCAGTCGGGGATGTGGAACAAGTTGTGAGCAGGCTTGCAGACAAGTTGGTCAAGAGGTTCAGCGGGTCGTTACGAACCTGAATCCTGAGATGCTCAACCTGCCTTGAGTTTTTAGGAGGGCCTCGGAACCATGTTACGATCGCTGCTTTTGCACATGAGGGGCGGCAACCTTACAATGCCTTCGGCATGGACAACGGGTAGGATTTCAAGGACAAGGGGCGTGATTTTCAAGAACATCGGGGTGGAAGTGGTTTACAGAAGAGCGCGGTCGTTTAAACCTCGACACTCCTTAACATAGGAGAGACACGTGTAAAGTTTGTTTGCTTGCCACGGTTTACAGAGCCTGTCAGCAAGCGACGAAGTGGTCATTAGCGCCATTCACCAACAATCGCAACCAGACAACAATCTGAACACAGAAACGCCCGAATCGGACATCTGAGATCGGACGCGCGTGAATCAGCAACCTGAGCCCGGCAGCGCTCTAATCAGCAATCTTGGCACTAATCGGCAAAAAGGGGAACGCCGAAATCAGCAATCCGCGCGCTGAACCGCTCCAAACGGCAATCTGAACGGAAAACGGGTCGAATCGGCAATCTGCGCACAGAAAGGAAAAGTCTGAACACAGAAACGCCCGAGTCGGCAATCTGCACCAGGAAATGGCAGAATTGGCAATCTGAGCTCGGAGCTGCTCGAATCGGCAATGTGGGACTCACTGGGGCCTCCTGCCAGGCAAATCCTCACATGTGGATGACCCACATCCTCGTATGATTGCACTGGGACGTCCACTGAATGGGTTCTTCCCATCCGCGGGCCCCAGGTATCTGAAGCCCTTTCCTGGGGGCAACTGCGGTCCTGGATTATTGTTTGATTGCCCCAATACTCACAAACGGCCCACAGAAACCGAACCGGAAGAACATGATCGACCCACGAACCCGGAAAGGGGTATAGAAATGTGAAGCATGGGTATGGTTCAAGACACCAAATTTGGGAGTCGGACAATTGCAGTGCTCAAGATAGCGATGGTGATGTACAATGCCAGGGGCTGTGCTGCCGTGCTTGAATAAACTGAGGCGCGCCATGCCGCGTTGAAATGCTGTGCTGTAGCCGGGAAATGATTAGAACAAAATGAACAAGACGATCGTTTTGAATGATCTGCAGACGGCAACGCCCAAAGAGTATCATTAAGTGACATTCGCCCTTCAATGTTGGCAGCGTGCGCAGGCGTGCACCATGGGCCAAGTTATTGATGGGCCATGTTTTGGCTTGCGCGACCGGTGGCGACATTGGGAGGCGGATGCCACTTAATGCCCGGGTGCTCTTCCAAGCTCATCCTTCACAGGGCCGCTGGCGTGGGCGGTTCCACGTTCTGCCGTGCGGCTTCGTTCCCACAGTCGGATGGCTAACGTGCACCGCGCAATGCAGACGAGACGTTCTTCCATAACATTGACAGGCGGATGTCGCTTCATGCGACGGGCCCCGCCTGGTCTGATTCAACGTCGTTTTGGCTTCCATCCCTGTGCCACTTTTGTTATAAACTTTTCTCACGGGGAGCATTGTGGATCAGGTCGTCCGTGGCGTCAGAGTCCCGATCGAACTGGTCTGGATCTTAAGTTCAAACTGCCTGAACGCATAACTCAGATCTGGCCGCAATCGAGACGCGCGGATCGCTCGACCAGCTGAAGCTCAAGATTCGCTGTCAGTCCGGAAGCGTGACGAACCGACAGGAGGAGATTCGGAACAGTTCTGTTCACTGTTGCGTCGTAGATCAAATCTTGCCTGGCATCCGAATCCTGAGTGAACTGAGCTGGGCCTCGAGCTCGAGCTGCCTTGGCGCAGCGCTCGGCCAGAGCTGATTGCAATGGAGAATTTACAACATACTTATGTTCTGCAACAGTGCGACATCATGATCAGCATCAGCATCAGCATCAGCATCATCATCATCCTCATCGTCGTCAGCACCATCATCAGCAGCATCAGCATCACCATCATCATCATCATCATCATCATCATCAGCAGCAGCAGCAGCAACATCATAATTCTCGTCCTCATCCTCATCCTCATCCTCAACGTCACCACCATCTCAATCATCATCATCATCGTCATCATCATCGTAATCCGCATTCGCATGATCCTCATCATCACCATCCTCATCTGTCTCATCATCCTGGTCGTCCTCAGGCTCATGATTAGCATCCTCATCATCATCATCCTCATCCTCATCCTCATCTCCATCATCATCCACACCATCATGATTAACGACAACAGCACCATCACCATACATCACCATCAAATATCATCATCATCCTCATCCCCATCACCGTCCTCATCATCGTCATCATCATCATCAACATCTATCAGCACCACCACCATAAACATCACCATCATCACCTTCCTCCTCCTCCTCCTCCCTCCCTCCGTCTCCCTCTCCTTTCTCCTCCCTCCTCCCCTCCCATCACTCCCCTCTCCCTCTGGCAACTGCCAGCCATCGACGTCATCGTCGTCGGCTTCTTCGTCGCCGCTCTCCTTCTCTGCCTGGGCCCTGCTGGCGCTCCAGCCTTCAACCGCGCGGGACAGGCCCGAAGGCGCCCGCGACGGTTTCGTCGGCCGAGGCTTCGCTCAGGAGCCGCCCGTCTGGCAGGACAGCGTGAGCCCTGTCGAATCCGGGGCCAAGTCTGCTTGCGCGGTGCCCGGCCGCCAGCTGGTCGTACACGTGTGTGAGCAGAGCGTCAGGCGCGCCACCGGGATTCGGCAGCGCTTTACCCCGCCCATGGTTACGAACATCACGGAACCGCCGTCGAGCGATTCCTGCAAGAGAAGCGCAACTCCAAACAAACGCGCTCTGTAGGACAGCCCTCTATACATCGCCGGCATGTAACTCTGGCCAACGTCGTTGTTGCCGCAGGCTGCAACCGTGCCGTCGCTCTGGAGCAAGACCGTGTGAGAGCCTCCCGCGGTGACGTGCGTGTAGGTCTGGCCTTCCTCTAGCGCCGACACCTCGCACTGGCCTTCGTTATTGCTGCCGCAGGCTGCAACCGTGCCGTCGCTCCTGAGCAAAACCGTGTGCATGCGTCCTGCGAATGCGTCCGTGTAGGTCAGCGCCTCCTCCAACGCGGGCACGTCGCACTGGCCGTCTGTGTTGCAATCACAGGCTGCAGCCGTGCCGTCGCTTCTGATCAAGACCGTGTGAGAGCCTCCAGCGGCGACGTGCGTGTAGATCAGCCCTCCCTCCAGCGTCGGCACATCGCACTGGCCCTCGTCATTGAGGCCGCAGGCTGCAGCCGTGACGTCGCTCCTGAGCAGGACCGTGTGGGAGCCTTCCGCGGCGACGTGCGTGTAGGCCAGACCTCCGTCCAGCTCGGGCAAGTCGCACTGACCGAAATCATTGAAACCGCAGGCCGCAGCCGCGCGAGACCGTGTGGTAGCCTCCAGCGGTGACGTCCGTGTAGGTCAGGCCTCCCTCTAGCGCTGGCACGTCGCATTGGCCATGGTCACCGCAGCCGCGGGCTGCAACCGTGCCGTCGCCCTTGAGCAAGACCGTGTGCATGCGTCCCGCGGCGACGTCCGCTGGCACGTCGCACTGGCCGTAGGCATTGAAGCCGCAGGCTGCAACCGTGCCGGCGCTACTGAGCAAGACCGTGTGGTGGCATCCCGCAACGGCGTGAGTGTAGGTTAGCCCTTCCTCCAAATCCAGCAAATCGCACTGGTCGAAATCACCGTTGCCGCAGCAAGCCCACGTGCCGTCACTACTGACCAAAACCGTTGGAAGCACCCCGCGGCGACGTGCGTGAATGTCATGCCTCCGTTCAAATCTGCCACGTCGCATTGGCCGTCATCACTGCGGCCGCAGGCTGCAACCGTGCCGGCGCTACGGAGCAAGACCGTGTGAAGAAATCCCCCGGCGACGTGCGTGTAGGTCAGGTCATCCTCTAACTCCGGCACGTCGCACTGGCGTAGGCATTGAAGCCGCAAGCTGCAACCGTGCCAGCGCTACTGAGCAAGACCGTGTGGTGGCCTCCAGCGGCTACATGCGTGTACGTCAGGCCTCCCACCATCGCTGGCAAGTCGCACTGCCCGAAGTCATTGTTGCCGCAGGCTGCAGCCGTGCCATCGCTCCGGAGCAAGACAGTGTGGTGGCCTCCAGCGGCGACGTGCGTGTAAGTCAGGCCTCCCTCGGGCGCCGGCACGTCGCACTGACCGAAGCCATTGCTGCAGTGAGCGTCAACTGTGCCGTCGCTATGGAGCAAGACCGTGTGGAAGCGTCCCGCGGCGACGTGCGTGTAAGTCAGGCCTCCCTCCAGCGCCGGCACGTCGCACTGGCCTTCGTTGTTAAGGCCGCAGGCTGCAACCGTGCCGTCGCTCTTGAGCAAGACAGTGTGGGAGCCTCCCGCGGCGACGTGCGTTTATTTCAGGCTTCCCTCCAGCGCTGGCACGTCGCACTGACCGAAGTCATTGTTGCCGTGAGCGTCAACTGTGCCGTCGCTGACGAGCAAGATCGTGTGAGATATCCCCGCGGCGACCATTTGTGGGTGCGGGCTTGGGGCGCTCGAGCCCCTAAAAGAAGGGCAGAGGCTCGAGCTTGGGAGAAGGCGGAGGGACAGAGGCGGATGAAGGGCGAGGATGGTGGAGGACGGCGAGGAGGACAGGCGCGGGGAGGACGAGAAGGAGGGTGCTTTACGCAGACACGCTGCCGCCGATCCGCTGGTTTAATGTTTGGCCCCTTGATGTCGCAGCTCTGCCGCGACTGAGACCTGCGACCATGAGGCCACGGGAAGTTTGCAAAGGGGGAAACGGGCAAGGGGAGGAGCAAGGACACTTCGGAGTCGCACATCGCAAGGAGGAGGAGGAGGAGGTGGAGGAGGACTTCACGCTTTCCATCCTCCCTTCTCCTCCACTTTCTCCCCTCCTCCCCCTCCTCCTCTTCCGCCTCGGCATTCTCCTCCTCTTCCTCCTCCTCCTCTTCTCATATCCCTCCTCCCTCATCGCTTCTCACCTCGCCCCCCGTCTCTTGAGCAAGAGGATGCTCGTATTCACGATCATCCTCCCCCTACTTCCCCTCATCATTCATTATTGCGATTACCAATGCGATGACTAAAACATGTTACGAGTGTTCCCATTCGTCTGCATCACGATCGCCATCACCATCATCACAATCATCGTCACCGTCGCCACCATCATCCTCATTATCGTCATCACCATCGACCGTCTCGTAACCTTGACCCCAACAAGCACCAACACCATTACCCTTTATCCTTCTCTCCTCATCGTCACATCAACACTTCCCTCCTTCTGCTCTCCCTCCTCCTTTCCTCCTCCCCCTCTGCTTGCTCCCCTATCGCGGACCCCTTTCCTCAACAGCAACCCCCCTTCTCTTCCCCCATTCTCATGCTCCACCGCCCTCGGACTCCTGGCGGAGCTCGCTCGCTTTCCCAACACTGAAAAGACAACTTCGCGACACCTGACGCGCGGCGGCCAGGATCCGCTGCGAAAGGATGCGCGTCGAGGATGCCAGCGTCGAAAAGCAGGGAGATAGGGCGACTGGACATCAAGAGGCCCTGACGAGGGCCGCCCCACGACCCCCGATCTTATGTTCGTGCGCTAGGCCGCGATTATGTCCTTCCTGCTAGACAGCCCCTGAGCAATTGCCATGATACCTCTAAGATGCCCTCTGGGGGGCCCAATGAAACTGCAAGAGGTCCCAAGAGGTCCTCCAAGAAGACTCGCGCCAAATTTCTCGATGTTGTTTCTCTTCACCCCCCAACAAGACACGCTCGACCCACGAACCCGGAAAGGGAACTAGAACTGCGAGGCATGGGCACGTTTCAAAGCACATCAATTGGGCGATGGGCAGTGGCAATACTAAAGAGACCGATGCTGATGACAATGTTGTACCATGTGCAATGTTGTGCAATGGTGTGCAATGTTGTGCAATGTTGTGCAATGTTGTACCATGTGCAATGTTGTGCTGCGCTGCGCTGCACCGCGCCGCCCAATGACCTTTCCAGGGGACGCGCCAGGGGACGCGCCAAGGGACGTGCCAGGGGACGCGCCGCGAGACACGCCGGGGGGGGGCACGCCGCGTAACGGCCGACGCACCAGGGGACGGGCCAGGGGACGTGCCAGGGGACACACCGCGGGACGTGCAAGGGGGATGTGCCACGGAACGTGCCAGTGGATGTGCCAAGGGACGTGCCAGGGGACGCGCCGCGCGACGAGCCAGGGTGCCAGGGGGGCGCGCCACGGGACCCGCCACGGAGCGTGCCAGGGAACATGCCAGGCGACGCGCCAGGGGAAGCGATAGATAGAAATGTGCAGCATGGGCATTGTTCAAGCCACCAGATTTGAGCGACGGGTAATTGCAATGCTCGAGGTAGCGATGGTGATGTGCAATCCCAGGGACTGTGTTGTACTGCTCTGTGAGGAACTGAGACGCACCATGCCGCGTCGAAGTGCTGTGCACTATTGCATGGTGGATCAGGTCGCCCGTGGCGTCAGAATCCCGATCGAACTGATCTGGATCTTGAGCTTGCGCTGCCTGAGCTATCCGCAATCGAAACGCGCGGGGCGCTCGCCCAACTCGAGCTCAAGGTCCGATTCAGGTCGGAAGCAAAACGAACCGAAAAGGGACGAATCGGAACAGTTCTGTGCTCCGTTACGTCGTGGACCAAATCGTCCCTAGCATCCGAATCCTGACAGAACTGAGCTAGGCCTCAAACTGCCTGGGCGCCTTACTCGCCCAGATATGATTACAACCGAGACCCTATGAACGGATTACGTTCCGCAACAGGACGAAGTGATGAGGGCGAATCCAAGCCGAGGCGATATGCATCGAGAAGGGGCGGGCCGAAACGCCGACGATGACAACGACGGCGGGCGGAGACGACAGCGACCACGGCTCCAGCACGGGACCACTATGTTAGATACCCACCTGAGTGGCCTTGACACGTAAAAACATATGGCTCCAGCTCGGGACCACCATATTAGATACCCGATGGGGGAATATGGAGAACCACCAGCCCGCGAAACTGCACCATGTTATCACACAGCTGGCGTTGATTTGTGGATTTTGCCTGGCTCTTGTGGGCCGCCACGCTGGGGGCGCCCAGACGACCACATGTTAGATAGCTCGGGACCCCATGTTGATTATCCCCCTGGGTGGCCTGGACACGTGAAAACACGTGGTTCCAGCTCGGGACCACCACGTTAAATGATACCCCTCTGGGTAGTCTGGACACGTGAACACACTTGGCTCCAGCGAGGGGCCACCATGTTAGATACATGTTCTGAATGACCTGGACACATGAAAACACGTGATTTCAGCCAGGGGCAAGAAGCAACCATCGTACCTTCTCCCCCCCCCCCTGGGTGGCCTGGACACGTGAAACAACGTGGTTCCAGATCGGGACCACCATGTTAGATACCCCCCTGGGCGGCCTGGACACGTAACAACTCGTGGTTCAAGCTCGGGACCCGCATGTTGATTATCCCCCCTGGGTGGCCTGGACACATGGAAACACAGTGTTTCAGCTCGGGGCCACCATATTAGATACCTCCCTGGATGGCTTGGACACGTGAAGACACAAGGTTCCAGCTCTGGGGCACAATGTTGAATACCTCTCTGGGCGGCCTGGACCCGTGAAAATAACCCCATGCCCACGATAATAATGTACCCCCCCTTAAGTCGTTAGAATTTTTATCGTCGACCAATAAGAGTTTGGTCGGGGGCACGGGGGCGCGGAGGCCGAACTTCATTATCACTGGGAAAGTTCGCCATCGAGGTTACTTCCTTCTCATGCTTCTCGTGCTCTTCCTCCTTCTCACAATTATAATAGTTCTTCTCTTCTTTATGTATAGTTCTCTTTATATTTCTTTTTCTTATTGTCTCCCTGCCCCCGTGAACTTGTTTATCGCTGGGGTTGATTATCCTGGGAAAACTAAGCACATGAGCTACCCTACACGAGCAGATTAACATGTTAATTTCCACTAAGCGTTTACAAAGTAAACCTAATAAGTTTTGAATTTTGGATGTTTGCTTCTTCCTCTTCTTCTGCTTCCCCTGCTCTTCCTCCTTCTCATCCTTCTGCTCTTTCTTTTCTTCTTTCTTTATCTCTCTCTCTTTCTATTTCTGTTTCTCCTTGTCTCCCTGCCCCCTGAACTTGTTTATCGCTGTGGTTGATTATCCTGGGGGAACTAGGCAGAGCGAGCAGATGGAAACCTTAATTTCCATTAAGCGTTTACAAATTAAATCTAATAAGTTTTGAACTTTGGATGTTCGCTTCTTCCTTCTCCGCTCCTCTCTCCTCCTCCTGCTCCCCCTGCTCTTCTTGTTTTCCTTATATATATGCATGTTCTTTGGATTTCCTTCTCTCTCTGGCAGCTTGATATCTCTTTGTGCTGGCTCTGGCGGGCAACTTTTATTATCCCCCGAAAACCCCGAACTTTATTATTCCTTAGGGTTTATTATCGGGGGCATGGGGTTACGTGGTTCCAGCTCGGGGCCACCATGTCAGATACCCCGAAGGGAAATCTGGAACATCACCAGCCGAAGAACCTGTCAAGTTATCATACATCTGATCTTGCCGGGCTCTTGTGGACCCTCCCACGCTGGGGGCGCCCAAGCGATCACATGTTAGATGCCCCCCGTGGGTGGCCCGCACACGTTGGAAACACACGGCTACAGCTCGGGACCACCATGTTCGATACCCCCTCTGGGTGGTCTGGGCACGTACAAAAACACGCGGTTCTAGCTCGGTGCCACCATGTTAGACACCCCTCTGGGTGGTCTGGACACGTGAAAACACATGGTTCGTTCTCGGTGCCCCAGTGTCAGATGATACCTCTCGTGGTGGCCCGCACATGTTAAAAATACGTGGTTCCAGCTCGGGACCCCCATGTTAGATACCCCCACGGGCGACCTGGGCACGTGAAGCCAAGCATTTCGCCTGAGACAATTCTGGCCCCCAGGAGAGGAGTAAACCATAGGAACAAGACAAGCGTTTCGCTCGAGATATCCTCAACTAATTCTGCAAACCAAGCGTTTCGCTGGAGACATGCCCTGGAGCCCACAAGCGGCCCACAGAAGCAGAACTAGAGAAAAAACGCCAAGATTGGAAAACAAACAACGGCGGACAGGGCAGTGCAACAAAGGATGGGGAGCGGAGAAGAGGGCAAGAACGGGACCCAGACCTCCTCGCGTCACGAAAACATCACGACGTACGGCTCTTAAAGCTGCTTGCGCTCTGGGCCCTTGCTGGGCCTCCAGAGCGTCGAACAACGACCGCTCAGGCTGAAGAGCCGGTCCGGGGAGAAGGGGTCGGAACCTCCAGGCGCTCACGGTCTGAGCAAAGCACGACGTTGGCGGACTCGTGAGCGAGATGGGCAGACGGTGGGGCGGGGGGAGGAGGAAGACGAGGAAGATCGGCACGGGGCGGGCCCGAGAAGACGGAAGCGGGGAAACCACGGGAGGGCTCACGCCCTCTCGCCAGCGGTCGCGGGTCGCGCGAGGCCTGGTCCCAGGTTGCAG